AATATACTTATTGTGCTTTGAACTTCTTTCAAATTTAATTTAATTAATGATCTTTCAACATTTTCTCAGTACACCTAAGTCCCTCTCTCCCATGGTTTAAAAATAAATAAATCACTGCTTTAGGTTGTCACTTATGTGAATGGTGCTTTAATGATTATCTCAGCTTTAAAAAATATCATCATAACTCAATCTCCAAATAAAATAGCTCCTGCAGATTTACTAGGATGCTTCACTATTTTCCTGACTGTGTAAAGTCTCTTAGCCCAAAGTACATTGGAAGAGAAATCAACAAAGAGAACTAAAAGATATGTTCACAAATGAAAATTTTGGGGTTTTGTTTTCTTTTTAACAGATATTAAACTTGACCTTTGCTTAGCAGGCTACACTATAGGGATAGTCCACCATTGTATCGACAGTGGGAATGCAGTTGTGATCCATTATGAGAGATTATTTCTAAATCTGAACAAATACAAATTTGTAACAACAAAAGGTGAAAATACGTCTCTTGCTGGTTAGCTTATAACCTACTGTTTGATTATGACTTAGCTTTAATACATATGGGCTATGGTATCACTACCATTAACTTCCAAAAGGTAAATTACTAAGCAAGCTCTTGGAATATACTGTTGCCTTTAGAGAGCTTAGTTGGAATAGAGAGGTGGTAACCAAATACATGAAGCAGGTAGCTCATCTAATGGTGTAAAAGAAACTGCTTTCACCACATCACAAAGTCCCCAAACACCAGATGCTGGCATGGATATGGAGAGAAGGGAACATTTCTGCACTGCTGGTGGGATTGCAAACTAATATAGTCTTTTTGGAGAGAAGTATGGAGAGTCCTCAAAAGATCTAAGAGTAGACCTTCCATTTGACCTTGCAATCCCGTTACTAGGTATCTGCCCAGAAGAACAAAAAGATGGAGACTTTACATCTTTTACATTTACCTGGATGGAATTAAAATGTATTCTTCTTAGTAAAGTATCACAAGAATGGAAAAATAAGTATCCAATGTACTCCATACTAATATGAAATAATTATATAAACAATTACATGGTCATAAGAACAATAAAACACCGTTATAGTCCAGTTCAGGGGTAGAAGGGAGCGGGAGAGGGGAGGACATTTGGCAAAAGGAGGGAGGGCATGAGGTGGGATCTCCCCTAATGTGCACATTGTGAGGGTGTATAACACACCCCCTGGGTGAGGGGCTTTTCTACAAATGGAACTTTACCCCAAAAGTGAGAACAATGTTACTTAAAAATTGTACCCATAACACAGTGGTTATGGCACCAGCCACATACACCAGGCTGGCAGGTTCAAACCTGGCCCAGGCCAACTAAACAACAATGACAACTGTAACAAAAAATAGCTTGACATTGTAGTGGGCAGCTATAGTCCCAGCTACTTGGAGACTGAGGTAAGAGAATCACTTAAGCCCTAGAGTTTGAGGTTGCTGTGAGCTATGACACCATAGCACTCTACCAAAGGTGACACAGGGAGACTCTGTCTCAAAAAAAAAAAAAAAAAATTGTACCCTCATGTTAATTTGAAAAAAAATTAAAAATACTCAAAAAAAGAAAAAGAAAAGAAACATCTTTCATATCATCTTGGGATTAAAACTTTTACCACAGCT